GGGAAGCATAGGTTTTATCTAAATGATTTGTATTAATTTCAATAACATAAGAAATTACAATATATAGTGATTAGTTTCTTGTAATTAAGGACATGTAAGAGGAAACTAAATCAGCCTAATTAAGGAGAGAAATCAGCCTAATTAAAGAGTGATTACAAGAAAGATTACAGTAAAGATTACAACAAGAAAAGTAAACTCTATGCATAAATGAAATCCTAAATTAGTGCTCTATCATGCCCCCACAAGTGCAAGGATCCAAGAAGGATGCTAAGCTTGGATCGATGCAGCTGGGATTGCTTTCGAGTGAGAGGCTTGGTCAAAGAATCAGCAAGTTGATCGGTTGTGTGGGCATGAGAAATACGGATGAGCTTGCAAGCCACTTGATCACGAACAAAGTGAAAGTCGATTGTTATATGCTTCATGCGAGAGTGAAACATTGGATTAGAGAAGAGGTATGTTGCACCAATGTTATCACAATAAATGGACAGCAGAGACGAGAGTGTAACACCAAGTTCACGAAGGAGATTGAACAACCAGTTAACTTTGGCAGTGGCAGACGCAATGGCCCTGTATTCGGCCTCAGTAGATGATCGAGCAATGGTAGACTACTTTTTAGAGCTCCAATTGATTGGATTAGAGCCAAGGAAGACAACATAGGCAAAAGTGGAGTGGCAAGTGTTAACATCACCAGCCCAATCGGCGTCCAAGAAGGCATGGAGAGATGATGGTGAGCGAGCAGACAAAAATAGGCCATAGTGAGAGGTATCTTTTAAGTATCAAAGGACACGCTTAACAACATTCCAATGATTAGTTGAAAGTCGGTGCAGTCATTGAGCTTCAAAGATTCAAAGGAGGACAACAGTGTGCTGATTTTCGTGGCTTCATGCATATTAGTTTTGTGAAGAAGGTCAATGATATCCTTCTGTTGAGACAAGAGAAGACCGGTTGAGGACCTGGTAGTTTCAACACCTAGAAAGAAGCTAAGGCTTCCAAGATCCTTGAGGGAAAACCGAGTAGATAAACGAGACGTGAATGCACGAATGGCTGCTGAATTATTTCCAGTGAGAATGATGTCGTCCATGTAGACAAAAAGATACATTGTTGTAGAGTTGGAGCAATGGATGAAGAGAGAGGCGTCACTTTTGGAATTGAGAAATCCATTATCAAGGAGAAAAGTGCGAAGTTCATTATACCATGCCCTAGGAGCCTGGCGAAGACCGTATAAAGATTTATGTAGTTTGCAAACATGAGTCAGATTTCGGGAATCAATGAACCCTTGGGGTTGCTGCATTAAAACATGGTCAGAGAGAGTACCCTGCAAGAAAGCATTGTTAACATCCAGTTGATTCAAGATCCAACCACGAGACACCGCTATACTGAGAACAATATGAATAGTGGCAGGTTTAACAACCGAGCTAAAGGTTTCATTGAAATCTATGCCAGGGAGTTGGTAAAACCCTTTAGCCACAAGGCGAGCCTTGTAACGTGCAATGGAATCATCAAGATTTTTCTTGATTCGATAAACCAATTTATATCCAACAATATTTTGTGTGGGGGAGGCAGGGACTACAGACCATGTATTATTTGTTTTGAGGGCCTGAATCTCTTTATTCATGGCTTCACGCCATTGAGGAAGTTTGTTGGCCTGTGTAAATGAGGATGGTTCAGTGAGGATAGAGGGATTGGCCATAGTAGTAGTGAGAGAGAATGGTATTTTCGGTTTGTGTATGTTATTTTGGGCTCGTGCTACCATTCGAGAAGGTTGTGGTGATGTGTCAAGGGGTGGAAATGAAGTGGATGATGTATTTAAAGACGATAAAGAAGAAGAATCACTTACCTGATTAGGAGAATTGCGGGAGTCATCCAAGTTGGAAGAGAGAGTAGGAGTTTCTTGGTGAGAGGTGGACACTTGAGTCGGTGGTGATTGCATATTTAAAGTGGGAATTGACTGATATGTTATCTGATTAGAGCATGGAGGATTTATAGGAGATAGCATCTCTAGAGACAAATTTCTATTAATGACACTTGGAAGAATGTTTAGATTAAGAGGAGAAGAATCTGATGAGGTATTGATGGGTGAAGATTTACTTGCCAGATTTTTTTCTGTAAAAATGGAAAGTGGTTTTGAAAAAGATTGGTTAGTGACTGATAATTCATTACAGGAAAGAGATTTTCAAAAAAGGTAACATGTCTAGAAATAAATATTTTGTTAGTTTTTGAATCAAAACAGATAAAAGCATGATTTGGAAGTGAAAAACCAAGATATACACAAAGTCGAGAGCGTGGCTCAAGTTTGTGGTGATTGTAGGGCCAAAGCCATGGGTAACAAAGACACCCGAAAACATAGAGGGTTGTGTATTTGGGGTGGAGGCCGAACAGTTTGTGGTATGGGGTGTCATTTTGGAGTACAGGTGTAGACATGCGATTAATAAGATAGGTTGTGGTTTGAAAAGCATAGGGCCAAAAACGAAGAGGGATAGAGGTTTGATGAAGGAGGGTGGGACCAGTTTCAACAATGTGACGATGTTTTCATTCTACAGAGCCAACATATTCAAGGGTATATGGGGGTGAGGTGAGGTGTTGTACACCATATTTGGCCAAAAGATGAGAAAGTGCCTGATATTCACCACCACCATCTGTGTATACAGTTTTAATATGAGTTTGAAAAAAAATTTCAACGAGATTTTTGAATTTTTCAAACACATTAAAGACTTCAGATTTTAATTTGAGAGGATATAACCACATGTATTTTGTGAAATAATCAACAAATATAACATAATAGCGAAAATTTCCAAAAGACATGATAGGTGCAAGCCCCCAAACGTCAGAATAAATAACCTAAAGTGGTTTATCACAAATAAGAGAAGAATGTTTAAAGGAAAACTTGTGACTCTTATTACATAGGCAGGAATTACACACATTATTAGGCATAGAAGAATCAGAAACAAAAATCAAATTCTTAGCAAGTATTTTCTTGTGGATAGGTAAGGATGGGTGGCCAAGTCGCTGATGCCAGACTTGTGATGTAAGTGCAACGGATGTGAAGGGTGGCGGTTTTGAAAAATTGGTGGGTGATGTTGATGATGACCACTCGTACAAGTTGTTCCTACTCTGGCCTCGAACCAAGGATGCCCCCGTACTCAGATCCTTCACAAGAAAATGGCTAAGAAAAACTCTATGGATGTCTTTTTTTGCTTACAAAATTGAGAAACATAAATAAGATTTTTTTTTTTTATCATAGGTGCACACAAAATATTGTCTAGTTTTAATGAAGCAAGAGACGAATTAATGATAGAAGAACCAGTGTGAGAGATTGAGATTCCATTACCATTGCCGACTATGACATCCTCATTCCCAACATAATCGGAGTGTATAGAGAGATTCTGAAGGTCAAATGTAATATGGTGAGTAGCTCCCGAATCTAAGACCCAATTATTGTTGCCATAGGTAGAATCTCCATCCACATAATTAGCTTGAGGTCGAGAGAAGGGTTGACCCCGAGAGCGACATGTTTTGGCACTGTCCCAGCTTATCACATAGTTGACACACAATACGGGATTTCCCCTGTTGTCCCTAATAATAATTTGGATTCCATAAAGAAGGTTGAAAATTTGAATTGAAACCCATACCTTGAGAAGAGGAACCTTGGCCATAGGATGAGTGCTGCCGAGATTGAGTAGGTTGAAGACCAGATTGGTTCAAGTTTGATTGTTGTCGAGGATGGCCATTGGATTGTACGGAACAACCAAGAATTGAATTGGAGGGATTAAATCTGCTTTTATTTCCTCTACCACCCTTGCCTTTGTAGTTGTTTTTCCTTTGAGTGAATTGAGCAGTAATATGTGTATCATCCTCTTTGGGGTGTCCACGGTTTTGGGTTAACTCCTCATCAAGAAGGTTGTCGTAGAGATCCTCAAAGGATATAGGTGAGTCATAAACACGAACTGCAGCCGTTAGTTCCTTGAACTCGTCAGCGAGACCATTTAAAGTATGAGCCATGATTTCTGCATTACTCAAGGGATGGCCAATAAGAGTTAGATCATCAACAATACCTTTTATTTTGCTCATATAGGTGGCAATTGATTTCCCTTCTTTCTTGGTATTCATTAGCGTGGACAGAAGAGAGAGCATGCGGGAATTGGATCGATTTGCATAACTGGATTCCAGTTTGGTCCAGGCGTCAGCGGAAGTAGGGCAGTTGTTGATGGTGGGACCGATTGTACCATGAACGGTGGATTGAATCGCTAGTAGCACTAGTCGATCCTGGCGAAGCCAAGTGACGTGTTCCTGATCGGTATTTGGTGGACATGGATAAGAGCCATCAACATAACCGAGTAGACCATAACCGAATAGGAGATTGGTCATTTTTGATTTCCAGGAAGCATAATAGTCTCCTCTTTTTGCTAGCTTGAATGGAATCTGAGATGAGGCATTCACAGATATCAGATTGTTGCCAGGAGAGGGAGGGTTATCTTGATTCAGTCGAGTGATCGTTGATGTCATTACAGCAGGGGTAGCTCCAGTTAACGCAGCCAAATCAAAGATGGGAGAGGTCGGTGGTGTTGCCATGGTTGATAAGTGAGAGTTTTGGTAGAGTGTTTTGATACATAAATGCTTTTTTATTGATTTCAATAACAGAAGAAATTACAATATATAGTGATTAGTTTCCTGTAATTAAGGACATGTAAGAGGAAACTAAATTAGCCTAATTAAGGAGAGAAATCAGCCTAATAAAAGAGTGATTATAGGAGAGATTACAGTAAAGATTACAATAAGAAAAGTAAACTCTATACATAAATGAAATCCTAAATTAGTGCTCTATCATTATCTAGGGTTGTAATTGTATCATGTTCATCTCGTGTTAATTTAGATTCATGTCGTGGCAATTGTATCATGTTTTATCTAAAGTTTGATAAGATTGAGTGACTTTTTTTAGTATGGAAAGTAAGGCTGTGTTTTCTCTTATTTCTCTAATCGAAAACAAAAGGATTTGAGATTTTCTAATCCCCTCTAGAGGGGCACCAAGGAGTCATGTCCATGGGGTAGCTTCCCAGCACCCTCAAGAAAGATGTGTACTCCTGAACATCTACCAAAGCATTCTGAGCTCTAACTTCTGCCATGGATGCCTCAAAGTCCACATAAAACAAATACTCAAAGTGCTTTGTCATCCCCAAGTCCTCATCATCGAATCTCAACGACTTGTTTTGATATGGTCGAGACTCGATCTTGGTCAAGCTTATATTCCTAAAGGCAAATGCAGACAACACCTTGAAGAGCACACTGGTACCCTTATCATGAGCAAACACTATACTAGTCTTGAATGGCCTGTCTGTTAGGGCGCTTATCGGCTCACGAGCCAGTATCACGAACCTTGTGACATTGTTGCATTCATCTTGTATCCCGTTCTCCAAGATTTGAAGTCCATACAACTTGGCAGCATATGCAGATGCAATCGCTGCTGTGTCACCTAGATTATTTGTTGCTATGAATTTGGCTGCATTAGCTGTCCGATCAACTGCTACGCGATCAACATTAAGGCCAAGCTTGGTTAGAGTATGTTCACATTGAGATAATGCTTGTGGATGGCTTATTACTCGGTTTAAATCTTCTTTTCGAACATGTGACATAGCTAAAAGGCAATGATGAACCGGTATTTGGATTTCGCCAACCATGTGGATGTGGAGGAGGAGATCGTAGTTGCGATGGATGCTACCGCCGACAGAGTTTTCAATGGGGAGAACAGCAAGGTCCGCGATCCAGAGCTCTACTGCTTTGAATGCATCTTCGAATTGGTCACAAGTTATAGCTTCGCACTTGGGATAAGCTTTCCTAGCAGCGGCTTCACTATATGCGCCAGAAACACCTTGGTAGGCGACACGAAGCTGCAACCTGTGCTTGGGAATTGGAGAGAGGTCGACGAAGGTTCGAGGGTTGGATAAGTTGTTCTCGATTGGCATATGATCTAGGGTTTTGTGGTCGTTCACGACAGTGATGTGGTCGGATTTTATGATTTGTTGTTGTTTCGACACCACTGTGCTTGCTAAGATGGCGAACGAGCTTTGCCAGTCAGCTCGGCTTTTGTTGATGGTATCAGCAGTATTAAAGTTCACCATGCTAGCTGCACTAGCAATGGCATTGGTTGAGTCGAACCGGTAAGTGCACTGAAGAATGGGTTGCCTTCTAGTAACCGAGTGAGTTTGACTGTGGGACTTCGTCCTGATTTGAGTTTTGAGGTTGATACTCATGGAAGAAGAGAGAAAGAGGGAGTACATGTTTTATGATTCAGATTCGTAAAGATTTGACAAAAAAAATGGAAAGGAAAAAAATAAGAGTAAAGGAAAGATTATTTGTTGAAAAATGAGAGGGCGATGGTGGGGGGTTTTATATTGAGGAGGGGGGGGAGTAGAGAAGACTTGATTGAATGGTGGAGGGAGGTTCGACCAATCAAATTCCTAGACTTTCTTTAATGGATGACTGATCTCAAACCTAATTTAAAGTTATGGGGGAGAAATCTTGACATTGTTAACACTAAAAAGAGAACTTGGATTACACAATTCAATGGTTCATATTGTTAACACTATGCCTTATAGATATTCAACAAATATGTGGAGGAATTCTAAACACACAAAAGAATAATTCCTTCCTTTGGTTTGGCACCTCTTGCCTGGTGCTTCCACAATTTGCCAAACATATTGTATATGGTCCATGTATATTGACAAAAATAAGTGTACCAACTATACCATGAGTTCTCGTGATTGAATAAAACTCAAATTTTATCGATACTTATGGATTTTAAGTGATTGTATTCATTCAAAGCTTATGTTTCAACTATAAGTCCAAAAAATAAGTAAATAGAAAGACTCCCTCTACTAAAAAATATCTTTTGGTTTCAGTTGACACATACCTACTAGGTTGTTTGCTTGATGTTTATAAGAAGTTTGAGGAGGAGAATACTTGATGTTTGGCCTATGAAATTGACTTTTCATTTCGAGACTAACATGTGTACCTTCTAACATCTGTTCCACAAGTAGTTATTGTCAATGTTTTTCTATGTTAAGGTAAAAAGATTTAATTTGTGGTTTAATTTGTACTTTGGCAACATATATGTATGACTGGTGTTTGCATCAAAACGTCCAAACATGTCGTTTTATAAACTATGAACGTGGTTTTGTAAATATTTTAGTTTTTTTTTGGTTAAATGACATCTTTAGTAGTGATGATTGTGTTGCCTTTTGATAGCTTTTTTTATTATTTTTATTCTTTGGTCAAAAGACGACAAAATTTAAACTTACAACTTTAAAATTCAACAACGGGGCGATGACCGTTAATAGGCCCAAAGCCGTCCCAAGGGCAAAGCCATTGAGGCAGCTTCTTAGGCCCCAAAATAATTTTGCAATAAAAAAAATGTAATTTGACCAAAAAATAAAAAACCCAATAAAAGACCTCTCCAATATTTTATTATTCGGCTCAACACAAATGATGTCTCACACTCTTTCTTTATTGACTGGCCAACTACTGCCCAAAAGGTATATGCCAAATTAAATCTATCTCTCTCGCTCTCTCTCCGATAATATTTAATGGACCATTTAAATTGCCAAACATTTACACAATTAAAGGACATAATGCCTTTTGTTAAAAAAAAACACTCTGATCTTTTGCACTTACCACTTCCTTTGAGTGTCTCCCTCCAAGACTCTCGTTCCTAGGGCTTATAAGCAATGGTAAATTCTCTATCAAATCTGCTTATAACTGAATTACTAAACCTGTTCTAAGTCAACAACGGGGTCTAAATTGGAATTGGAATTGGATTTGGAAACTTGAGGTCCACAGAAACTTAAACACTTTCTGTGGTTGGTCCAAAATGACAGACTTCTTTCCAATTCTCTAAGATTGACTAGAAATCTCACTGATGATTCTGCTAGTGAAAGAAGCAAGGCCTTAAATGAGAATACAATCCATATCTTGAGGGATTGCCCGAAAGCAGAATTGGTTTGGAAATCATTTCTCAATAGGAATGATCTCCAACAGCATCAATCCATGGACGTTCATAATTGGCTCATTGAAAATTATAAAACCAGAAAGGATGTATTTTGGAGAGGAGTTAAATGGCATATTCTTTTTGCTTTTCTGGTATGAAATATTTGGAAAGACAAGAATCAAGAATGCTTAGGGAACACAATTAATCCCCCAAGCTATTGCCAAGACAGCTTGGAGAATGGCTCGAGAGTCTTGGGATGCTTTCAACGATTCCCAAACCCAGGGGATACCAAATCACCCCAATCTTATTGGTTGGTCTTTTCCTCTTGCAGGATGGATGAAGATGAATGTGAATGGAAGCACTAAGGATAACACTGGCCTGCCACAATAGGAGGACTGCTAAGGAATGATCAAGGAGAATGACAACTTGGTTTCTATGGGAAGATAAAAGACTCTACTAGCCTGCAAGCTGAATTGTGGGCTATTTATCGAGGCCTCAAGATCATTCAAGCACAGAAACTTAAGAAGGTCATCTTGGAGACTGATTCTTTGGAAGCCCTCAACTTAATCATTACTAGGTCGGAGGATCTCGACCCCGATAGGAATATTATTGTCAATTGCAAGAGCTTTGGGATGGACTAATACTCCCATCATTCACACACTAAGAGAAGGAAACTTTTGCGCTGACAAAATAGCAAGCCTTGGAGGGCAACAACATGATTCTTTTGTATTTTTTGAAATCTCACCGCCTATGTTGGGACATTATCTTTTGAATGGTCTTTCTTGTATTTCTTTTGCTAGGGGATTTAAATAACCCCTCTTACTTTTCCTCTGTACCAAAAAAAAAAAACTCTCATAAATAGCATCAGCAGATGAATATATTTGTTTTATTCTTATTAAACTATGTAATGCATTAGATGTCTAACTTAGTGGAGCTATGTGTTTGTTAGAATTTTATTTTTAAGTATTTTTTAATCTTAATATGTGTTAATTAGGAATACAAATATAAAAAGTAGAAAAAATAAAAAAAAAATTAAATACAAACCCAAAAAGAAGAGTCACTGATATATTTGTTATCAAAAATAAGAATAATATGACAATAACTTGAAGCAAAAATAGTTGAATAATCCGTTACCTCAACACAATCAGAAATAACGAAAAGACGAAAATATTAATAATGTAGTGTATTACATACCAATAAATATTTTAATAAGATGAGATAAAAATCTATTAGAAGAATGATTGTTACATAAGGTTACTAGTATATTATGATAATACTAAGGCCTTATTTAAAATGTTTGCTTAGGGGGCCCCACTTGTTATTGGGCCGGCCCTGATTAGGCCAACAACCGCTAACCACTCCGACAACTTTAAATTAAGAAGTTAATTTCTTGTAGAACAACTCAAAGTATTTTTTTTTTTTAGACTGTATAACACTTCTTAGTCAAAATAATGTTATACTGGTGCACCCAACATTAGGGTCTTGTTGAAGGAATCAACCTCATGGTGTACCAGATTGAGGATTATATGGGTTTTTTTTTATTTATTTATGAATTTCCTGCTCTATTTCTTTTTCATTATTCTTAGTAACTGAAAACTGTTTCCGCCGTGCGTTCTTAAGGCTCATGATTGTAATGCAAAATTTTTATACGAATGAAATCACACACTAACTACATGTTTCAGTTATACTCAAATTTTATGTGACACGAGATTTAGACTTGGAACGGGTACATTTATTCCTCATCCTGTATTGGATAATTGAACCAACCGGTGTAGTTGATGAAGCACTTTCTAGGGTAACTATTTAATTATATGGTGAGGATCATTTTGTTTTAAGACCATTACCTTGTACTTGTGTAGTTTTAGCCCCTTTTAGTAATTTTGCAGTAGACCTAGTTTATTTTTGTTTTCAAGTTCCATTAAACTTTTGCTATTATATAAACCTAACTATGTAGCCTTTTTGAAGAAAACTTTTGTTTTCTAGGAAATTGTTACACCAATTTACATAGATGAGAGAACTATATAATAAACTCAACAGTCGATAAAAAAAAAATGAAATCATAACTGAGAGAGTTTAAAAGTAATTTCTCTTGCTCTCATTAAATGATATACATAATGTTATCTCGATCTATGAGTTGATCGTCAGATCTCTTCATTTAGGATCCTTACATTAGAGTATCTAACTTTATTAATCCGTCCCTAATCTCGTAAATTATATTTATATTATGAAATTTATCCCAACCGTGTGCAAGTGTCGAGCTAAGCTGAGGACCTTTCAATTTTGTCACCTGCAATCCTTCAAGTTGGATTCTATGACTGTAATTTTCAACTAGGTAAATTCACGTTCACATCTTTCTCTATTTCTTGCCTGATGTTTTTAATACTCACGCATAAACATGTGAAAATAGAGAAAACGGTGAGGCGTAATTGTTAATCTTATAAATCTTCATATAGTAAGGTTGATTTGTTAGTTACCAGAACATTACAAATTTAAATCAAGGAAATAGTTTATTCGCATCATTGTAACAAAACTATGTACGTCTAACTCTCCCCAAACCATGGGTTTTTTTTTTTTTTCAATTTGTTGGTAGTTCCACCAAGTAAAGAATTAGATTGGATTCTCTTGGGGTGTGTTGTATTTCCCATATGCATCATATTAGTAAACTCATGCAGTTTTCCACCTGCAACACACAAGAAAGAAGTCCTTGTGGACATATTCAATGACTCAACTACATACAGGGTTTACAGTTTGACACTACAACAGAAACTACATCCCCCATATCCTCCAATGTACAAAGATAACTTACCCTCTATAGAAATATCCTCGACAAGTCCCATGATGTAAGGGAAAAAATTATACAAGACTGCCATTTACCATACAAGATCCAAGAACCTTGATTTTGAACCACAACGCAAATCGTTCCTCCTAGAAATGGAGGTTGATGAGCTTCAAGAATTTGATTACAGCTACTACAATTGAAGACCTTGATTTTGACTCTCAGAGCCCAACCCATTTCACCCATCTGAATACTCGACCAACTCTGAAAGGCAACTGGTAATCTTTAGCGACAGCAGGCTCTCTTCTAGCAGTCTCAGGTTCGGACCACACGTATACACCTCGCTCCTGCCGACTGCCTGGTACAGTGTTGTCAAGAATTACGGCTACTAGGAACGCTATCACCATGTGAAGTGACAGCAACGTGTTCATAACATAATTTAACTGCAAAAGGATTTTTTCGGAAATAAAGCAAGAATTCAGTCACAATTCTCCTTGCTACCTACCATTTGATAGGCATGCACGAAACTGATTAAGCAGAAACCCTAAATTCATCACAACCAAAATAGTTGAAAAGATGCATACCCCTCCATTGGTGGTGCGGAAAGGACCGTGAGAGGCCACAATGTATGGCTGAAAATAACTCGGGACAGACAGGTTTGAATTTGGAGAGAGACCATATTGCTGAAAGTAAGCTGGTACTGAAAGGGAGAAAAACAAAGACAAACCAACTATGATAATGTTCCTGGAGCTTCCAGCCTCACTGTATCGTAGATTTGACAAGCCCAAAGCTGCCAACATAGCCCACATAAAGCACAATAGAGCTGCAACCATGACTTTAGGAATCGAGGCAATGAATCCTCCAACTTTACCTGTCAGCATGGCAGAATTGAGATCAAGTACAAGTGAACAGAAATGACATGAGGGTCACACTCAAAATAAGAAACCTCTTTCCGTTCCCAAAGACATTTTGCTCTTCGTTGTGGTTACTATAATGTGTAAGATCGATATAGATTATAGGGTGCCATCATTCTACGGACCCACTCACTACTTCATCAATGCCCAGTTGCCAAAATATGTCATTCCTCAAAACTTTACAACATCAAGAGGGGTGTCAATCTTGGTTGTGCAAACGCATAATAGAAGTTTCTCGAACAACCCTCAAGTTTTTAACCAAAAGCATATGTGCAAGTGTTTTTTATTTTGGCAACATATGACTGATATTCCACGTGTAATCAAAGACAGTGGAGTCCACTGTCCAAAATAATAAAAAACCCAACTTGAGTTTGAGTTGGTAGCTTCACTACCTACATACAATTTTTATTTGTTTGGTCTAAAATAATTGACACTAACTAGTCATATAGCATGTCTCTAGACACAGTGACATGATGTTTAAAATGCATACTAGAGCCCCCTGTGCACATTCAGGATTAGAGATACATGTCATACATGGAGAACAGGCTTCAAATGGATCCTTAGTTCTCCTCACCAACTTATATATACAACAGAACAAGCCACGTTCAGATCAGTCATTTCTCAATTTAGAAGTTGTACCTCCACCATGGAATCAAAACAAAACTAAGAAAACATATTTTCAATACAAACAATTGCAGCAGAAAGAAATTTCCACCCATGCACTTTCCACAGTTACATTCATAGTAGTTACCAGACCTGCTATTTTGCTTACTTCTGGTACAGCAATCATAAATGACACAATTCCACTGGTAAAAGAGCCTTTATACAATTGAAAAATCAATCTCGTAGTAAGTTCAGTGAGACCAAATTGATGAATTTGGGACGATGTAGAACCAATTCATTCAAAAATATGTTCTATGCCGGTAAGTTTAAGCACTACCACATATGACTGTTAGTGGCCACATTTTTCCCTTCCGTTTAACAGGTAGACAGATAGCCTCAATGAGCCCAGCACCAGAAGCATTAGCTCTTTCTTTTTTGAGAATTTAAAATGGCCTTGCATTAAACTCTTCTTGGGCACAAGGGGCGCTTTTAAGCAAAAAAGTAGAAAGGTCACTGCTATTTTTTCAGAACTTTTACTGATCATATCATTGAAATTTTCCTCATATGACATGCTTGGCTATCTCTATGAAAGTTTCAGGTGGTACTTTGAGAGAAATATCAACGTTTCATCTCTACTGGTCCAGAAGACGAATAACTAGTGATTAGGTGAAGTCTATACAGCATAAGACTACATCTTTGTAATTCTCCCTGTAAAACACAAGTTATATTAGTTATGAACAATGAGCTAGTATATATTATCGTCTTTGTCTTCCTTAATAACGTATATGTTTTTTTTGGCCTATTCAACGGGGAGACTGATGTAGTTATTTACATTTATAGCATGAATATTTGATTTTTTGCATGTTAGTACTCATTCTATGACATCTACCGTCACTGAAAACCAGAAATGGAAATTGAAATGATTATAAGGAAAACAAACACAAAAGTCATTCGTCTTAAGAGTTCTTAAAAGTTATAGGCACTTAACATACAATCACCTTAAAAGATACAGCAAATGTAAAACTTAGTAACTAAGCCACATATTATTAGGCTTAGAAACTTAGCCGCGTGCTATTGGGCTTAGTTGAATAAAACTGTCACATATATTTCCTCAGGCTTGCCCAAATACCTGAAAATAAAGGACTCGGAACTTTAATTCAAGGTCTTTGCCCAGATTTTCTCAGCCAACCATAATAAGGCCTATATGTAGAGAGTTTATGCCAAAATAATATTACGAAAACAAAAATATCCTAAAAAACAAGGAAACTGAAGGTCAGGAGCCAGTACTCATGTGGACCAAGACAGAATTCGATAACAATGGTTTGTAAATGCGACTGGTAAAGCTACAACCTGTGAGAGATGAAATAACTATGCCCCCCAAAATAGTCATTTTAACAAGCACATACCTACAACAGATAAGACAATCAGAACACAGGCACCCAACTCCATTGCTCTGCGACTTCCCATTTTAGTAACGGCAATAGTGTGCACATTTTCCGTTAGGGTTGTTGACCCAGTTCCTGTACCCCAAAGACCAGCCAAGATGCCAGAAAGACCCTCAAGACCAATCCCTCGACTTACAACACCTGGAGTAGGAGGTCTGGATGCCACCAACAAAGATGAAGCATGGTACGAGCCAACCTAAGCAGTTTGGAAACATGAAGAACCTATAATTGAACATTACTCGATAGACCAAATAAGAAACTTCACATGGCATTATGCAACCACATAATTATGAGATTTTCTATATATTGTAACTTTCTTTGGCATGTTTCTACTTGGGGTAAAATTTATAGGCCTTGCAATCAGATCGATAGGAATACTACAGCAAAAAACATTGGTTCCAGTTGTTAGAATTCGCCAAAGTATGCTTTTCTCATTTAAAACCAATTTAAATAACCAGAAGATGTTATTGATGCTTTCAAAAAAGATTAATGCAAGACAGTAGTAGATTGATTAAAACTGTGTACCTTAAATTACTGTGTCAAGCAATCAGACAGTGTCAAGTATATAAAATGCTGCAACTATGTAAATATTCTCATGATTTCCACATTCATCACTAAACAAACTCACATATGAAAGTAGCAAAAGCTTTCTGACACTATCCAGAATATATCAAGAACTTTTGTAACTATATTTGTTTTGCTCTCCAAGTATGAATCCAGTAATCGAATAGGAGCCATTTAGGAAATTCAAACATCAGCCACATATGGGACATGGGCATGACACTGATCAGACACTCCCAAATGTGTCCTACACCACTCTGACACAGGATACAAGTTTAAGTTATAGTTTAGAAGAATAATGAGAGATGCATTTACATAAATCTTACAACAGTTAGGACTATTTCAAACTAAAGAAGTAAAACGGACTCAGTTCAATCAAAGGTCTGAGATGAGGGGAAGGAAAGGACAGCATCCCAAGTCTGTTTGTGTCTGCATGTGGATGCTAGTGTTTTGTGCATGTAAACATAGACATACATGCAAAAACACACGCACATTTGACATAAAATTGCACACATTCTTGTCCCCAGTGCAGCAATGTTCTATGTTTTTTAGATTGTAGTAAATTGACATGCCAATACAGACTCCATGCTTTGTAAACAAATCCATGCACAATTACGTCAAATCACCCATAGAAAGGTGGCTCTGCCTCTTAAGGATATTTTTTTTCACATTTAAAGAAAATTATGCAGTCACTCCATCACTATAAAGACTTGTGGTGCATTATACTTCATGGAACATTAATTATCTAGTAAGTCCCAGTAACATCCTAAGAAAATGGATTCCTGGGAGAAGCATGAATCTAGCGAACAAAATAGTAATGTTCAAGAGCAGAGGGGCAGAGGGCGATTCAGAACTCACAGAATCCACCGATGATATTAAGGACACCACACACATTACAAGGGCTATTTTCCAGTTGAAAACAGGGATACCCCACTGTAGGGGATAAGGAAATCGAAGCCAAGGAGAATTTTTTATTGCATGAGACGTATCAACTCGACAATGCTTCATCCTGGTAACATGCTTTCTGCAGTGCTCAGATATTACATTCGAGGCCGGTACATTTGGATCACAACCTTTGTAGCTATAGGCTCCTGCTTCAGTCAGAAGGAATGCAGCAGCCCATGTGATGGCCAGACCCAACGGGACCTAATCATAGATCAAAGAAACAAAAATTATGATAACATAAGCTTTTATGAAATCACAAAACATATACTCGCAAATAAATAATGAAAGCAGATCCAAGAGAAAAACAAAAAAGATTAAATTGAGTAAACTTACCGCATATATTAGAAATATGCGATGACCAAAAATGGATATTTTGCGAAGGTACTGCAGTAGATTTTGAAACAAGTATCTTAGGCAGTGGAACTTAAATTAATGAGGAAAATATGCACCAAGTTATTACATTGCCAAGCTGCAAATACAGATACCAGTATGGTAATCCAAGAAAACAAAAACCTGTAAGGCTAAAGAATGAAGGTAGCTTACTGAACTTACAAGAGAAAATACAATAACAAGTAATATCTGCACAGCCCCAATTTCAAGACATGTACCAACTTGTGGGAAACCATAACCATAGAAAGCAAGTCCTACGGCAGCAATAGTTGGGGCCACAACCACTGGATTAATCAACCTGAAAAAGGAAGGATAAATGAACTGACGGTGAGTTGTCAAGAGTTGCGGTAGATCAAAACCTGAAAGCCAGAATGGGAAAACACAAAAAATGAGGTGGAGAATCTGCAGTGCTTGGACAACAAAATGCTAGTCAACAATAAGATGCCCTATAATTGAACCTCATCAAAACCGCAAAAGCAACTAAAGTGGATGCAGGCCCAAGAAAAGATTCTACCAAAATAAAATGAAAATAACGAACAACAACAAAGAAGGATGAGGAGAAGAAGAAGAAGTTCCACAATCTCTGCTTTGAGGCACCCAGATGTGAGCCTTTTTCATCATACTTCAGTTGACTTATCAAATAAAGTCTCAAATACCCAAATCTCATTTTAGAGTGACTAAATTAGTTTTTGGTTTCTGTCCCAATGACTTGCCTTTTTCAGTAGGTAAAGAATTTTACTAATCCAAAAAAAGAAGACAGAAAACTAAGTTTAACACACGCCCATGGTGGCACCAGAAGCAATACTCAGAGTATGCTCCATCCACACACCTAGTCTGCATTTAAAATAACCTCTCACATCCCAAGAGACTATGCATATGGCAGATAGTGTAACACATCTGGTGATTATTTGCCTTTTACTCCTACGAAAAAACTCATATTTTGTCTCTACGGAAATTGTTGGGTCCCATTGTAAAGACTAAAGACATGTTTTTTTTGCAAAGAACTCTTGTACACAGAACAAAGAATCCACACCTAGTAATGACGGATACACACTTTTACAAGAAGCGTGTGTTCTTTGTTATTAAGGTTGTATTGGTCATTTTAGTGTATTTACACTTGATTGATGAAAGATGTGCACTTAGTTTATAGACCACTTGATTATTAGGTGTGTATACTTGGTTATCAAGTGATATATTCATTATTAGATGTGCATCCTACACAGTCCTTATTAAGTGTCGTATATTCATTATTAGGATGCGTATCTCTTGTTATTAAGTGTAGAATGATTCTCCTCTACAGAAAATATGCTGCCTTTAGCGAGAACTAAGCATTTATTGTAGGGAGAGGTGCATAAGAAACCAACAATAGTACACGAAAATTTATCTAGTTGTAAAGCTCGTCTCTTCCTGCACTGTTTTGCATATGCTTTAAAAATTAACAAAATCATTCAAATACACCATGTTCTTAATTACAAGCACCAACAATAGAACTTCTAAGTAAACAGTTCTTGAGCAACAAAACATCAAAACGACATCAGCCTCTGTTCAATCCAATAAGCTCCCAATATTAGTCCTATTCTCACTAGAAAATCGGATACAAGCATATAACGACAACTGCTGGTCACCCAAAAGCTGAAGCAACCCATACCTCAAGAATACAAAAGAGCAGTAGAATGAAGAAATTAATACCTCAAAAATACTGACATCAATCCACTATACCCCAGTATTGCTTGAAAAGCTGAAGCAATGATTATAGCCCCCTGCAGCTCTTTCATAACATGCTTGAAATTCTGCATGTTAAACAGTCATTCACTGTGATGAAAAATTCACCCCAAAAATAACAAAACTTCACCATAAAGTTACCCATTGCAGAAAAAAAGGATACCTCCAGATTTATTTTAATCAAACATCCCTCAAAGTTTTTTTTGGATACTCCCTTACACAAATTGGAATAAAATGTACCAAATTTTAGCAACTTCTGAAAATTTTATGGATGAGAAAAGGTATTATAAGAACCACATATTCTGTCAACTTCTAAACCTCAGGCCCAGTGACTGAGTAACAGATATTCTTTGTCAAACTCATTTTTGAACTTTTTCTATTTTTTTTTTTGTGCGGGTGGAGGTGGCCAGACCTGCCCCTGTAGATCTGACATTGGCTATGTCTGCACCCCTTATTTTGTACAAGTGAGTAGTTTTGGATCTGCTTGCCAAAAGGGGAATTTTCAGATAATAGGAACTGACAAGGCAACATGTTAAAAATTTACTTCATCAAAGAACTAGGTTAAATATTACACTCAGGAAAAACACAAAACGGGACCTAGCGAGTCTCAAGATTCATGGGCCCAACTTCATTCAAAGCTAACGAGGTCAATCATTCACGACGGAAGTTTAAGAGGCCAATCAGATACCTGATGAACCTGACTCGTAGAAGGAAGTCCTTTTGTTATTGTTGATGTTAGCCATTCATGCTTTTCTTTTAAAAGTGGTATATTGATGGTTTTATCTCTTTCATGTTTCGGAGAAATCAAGACATGACATGGCTAATTAGATTACAACTTGAGACTAGTTGCCATTAAATTAGAAACATAGGTATGACTAACAAGAGTATCATCCATCTATACATGTCTGAGAGCATTAAATGACAAAAGTACAATTAACCATAATCTTTTTTTTTTGGGTAAGTTAAATAACTACAATCTTGGAAATAAAGTTTTATAAGATTTGATTTACATTACCAATTTCACAGAGAAAATTACTGTTGCTACTACAACTACTATTGCTTCTAACTGTTAATTAATATATAATAAAGTGATAGAGAATTCACTGATATTTTTAATATCAATCAGCTCAGTTAAACTCAATAAGGGATTGGATCCCAATAATCCAGGCATGCTAATCCCTCTCAACATTGAAGTATATCCATGGCAGTTATCACCGTTAAGTCCAAGGTCATGATTTTTCTCATAGATCTCGAGATCATAGATACCCCTAGCATCCCACGAACCAAGGTTGCATGACCCAAAAATGGGACAGGCAATCGAGATCGCTCAATCTCTCAACCCAAATTATAACTCAAACGACAACTTGATTCATGATCTAAGTAATCTCACATTATAACCTCAACCCTAAATCATAACTGTAAATGGTTATTTCTTTATTTTAGTGTTCTTTAAAGTCATATAACCCCAACCCTAAATCATAATTGTAACTAGTTATTTCTTTATTTTAGTGTTTTTTAAAGTCATATTTGAACAACAATTGTAAAAAATATAAAATAAATATGTATTAACTTTGTGTATACGCATATATTATTCTACATAGAAGTTACAAAACGAACCACGACTCAACATAACATACCAACTAAGCCTATCCCTACCATACCACGTATTGAAAGAAGTATTGTACCACGTATCCGTACCCGTACCATTGATTTTCTTATAGCCAAGCCCTTTTTCTTTTTACCATAGGGTGAGGAAAGGGAGAAATAAAAATATGCATAATTTTCCGCAATCTCTTGTACTCATAGCACCTCTGGTCTACACTTCTCGATTGCAAGAGTGAACCATAATAAGCCATTTACTTTGCTCTCATCTTTCTGTCTACTAGTGCTGTTGTTAATTCCTATGAATGCATTCATTTCTTAACTTGTTTTTTGGATAATTAATTCTTTAATTTGTTTCCTTAATTCAATCATCTCAACATTCTAATCTTAAGCACACACTGTTGTAAAGACGTTTACAACCATTAAATGCTTCACACAAACTTCACCACTGAACTGGTAAAATCCAAATCAACAATAACATTAAACCTAATACACAATACTGCAAAGCAATTTAACATTCTGATAACTATTTCTTTCTTAAAATCAGAGATGACAACTATTTCTTTCCCATGTTTTTTCCACAGTTTCTTCCTTTCCCAAACTTTGAGCTAGAGCTTACAAACAAGCCAAAAAAATCTATGATCTTGTGAAAAACAGATCATTAATAGATTTGATTACCTTAACATAAACTCCTTGGTACTCTAACATCTAAGATAAAACCAGATGGGCATATGACCATGTATCATCATTATGTACAATGTCTCAAATCTGTCCACTGGGTTGCCAAATTCAAGAAGTTCATATCCTCAGGATGATATTCTTGATGGGTAGTCAAGAATAGTGTGAAAACCACATAATAAAATAGTATGAAAAACAGCAAGCCCTGAAACATACATTTCCATTCAGTCCCAAAAACTCAGGAGAGTTAATTATGGCAAGCACAGGGGCAAGAAAAACAATTGATGGACCCTGTATCAAGGGTAACCTTGTTCCGAAGGACGTATGCAAAAGGGTAGTCACTCCAGACACAAAAAGCACAGTGGAAACCACCCTTGACGTATCCTCCTGCACCCACCAATTTCCATAAGATCAAATCATCCAAAAAATAATACATTATATAAAGGCCACAGAAATCGAATAAGAATTACAAGTGCTTACATATGTGCCACCCATTGCCGGAACAATCACAAGCGGCACAAGAATCAAGGAGCCCAACATCGAAAGATAATGTTGAAATCCATATAAACCAATAGGAACTGAAACATTTAAGCAAACAAACAAACGTTGCCCATTTTAATACCCACAATATTACATATACTAACGAAAAAACGAATTGCATAATTACTAACAAAACAATAAGCAGTTCTCCAAAGCTTGCCACTCACAGATGTAACCCATTTCTTGATCCACAACGTAACAAATATATATCGAAACCAAATCATTTTACACCCTTACATTATCCGATTATCAATAATACCTAATCAATCAAATAAAGGTTATCATTTTACAAAAAAAAACAAAAAGTAGCCCCCTTCAGTATAAACATGAGCACAAACATTAATATAAATATAAATTACATATTCTGCTCTATGACCACATGCAATTACCCTTAATGATCGAAAAATCAAAAAAATAGAAAGCTCACCAAGGCCAGGTGAATCTCTAAGCTCATACTTCATACGTGAATGCCTAGACCCAAACCCATCATCATCTACTGTCTGAGGCAACACATCCACCATCTCTTCATTCCTCGACAGCCTCCGACTCTGTGGCGGTACCACCACCGGCTCAGCGGCAGCCGCAGCCTGCCCATTGGTAGTCTTAGCCACCGCTCCGCCACCACCATCCGATTCCCTCCTCTTCTTCACCGTCCGCTCTTTCTCCGCCGCCGCCGCAGCAGCAGGCGACGCTTTCTCACCGTTCACCGCCGGACTAATCCGAGCACGGCCCGCTTCGAGATCCAAATTAGTGCCGGGATCTTTTGGCTTGGGTTGGGACAAAATCTGACCCGAATCACTAGCATTGGTCTCGCCGGAGAACTTGGGCCGGAAGCCGGTGCGTTTCGCCCATGAGGACGGTGGCATTCCAGTGGATTCCGGCGCCGGGGGCCATGGCCCGGGTCGTGGCCGCTTAGTTGGATCGGTGCTAGCCATTTTGCTCTACAAGTGCATAGCTGTGCGTAAATGTGTCGTGAAATGTTGGTAGATCTGAGCTCTAGTTAGGGTTTTTAGCAAACGTAAATTGATCTTACAGGCTTGCTGGAGAAGAGTGTGGGTGTCCGTTTCTGTGTGGGTGTGTGGGAAGGAGAAAGTAGAGAGAGGCTGTCCTGTGGTAAGAGAGAGAAAGCTCAGTGTGTGTGAGTGAGGAAGAGTGTCGGGGAAGAGAGAGAGATGACAAGAGAGAGATGACTAAGAGAGAGGAAACGGTGTGGTGGAGTCGAAACCGCGTTACGTTTTGATCCTCACCAATCCGATGATGTCACGATAGACTCTGTCTGTGTTTTTTTTCCGTTAGGATTTTTTTATTGGTTGTGTGTGGATTTTTACATTAAAAATCGTGGGACACAATTTTTATTAAAGATATAATGGGTTTTAAATCAGATAATTTCTAATTTATACCCTAGATTTTTTTATTTGTTCTTGAATTTTTAATTTAAATAATTAACTCCTTAATATTTTAACCGAAACTTTATTTAATTTTTTATCCAATTTATTTCAATAAAAATGAGCTACAAGAGTCTCATAAGAGATTGTTTATTCAATAAACAATATCTCTCTAACATATATTGATATTTTTGTAACTATTTGATTTTTTAATTAAAAATTCAAGGTTCAAATAGAAATTATGTACATACTTTAAGGGTAAAAATTATAATTTATCTTTTTAAATTTTTAAAACAAACGAAAAATAATTTATCTCGTTTAAAGTAATTTAGAGTGGAGGCTTAGATTTAAATTCCTAATATAAAGGTTTCTTTATAAATCTCGTCATTAATGATAAAATAAGTAAAGTTCCACTCATATCCCATCAATTAGTTGCGATGTCATTCAGTGGCAATCTAGGGAGTTGATTAATTGCACCTTTTTCTCTGTTTATGAAATGACATGTTTGCCCTAAATTCACAGTTTACTCTTCCGAAAAGTCTCACAATGTAGGCTACACCATTGGAACTTCATGACCAGTAGTGAATGGTTTACGCCGTGACTAGTTGTGAATGGTTTTTCCTAAAACACAAACTTCTATACCAATTTTTCTTCTTTTTCTTTTTTGATATTACAGTCTGACGTATCAGAATAGTTTACGCGTACCATTATTAATCTTTTTTCTGATCCAATCACAATTAAATCATCCATATCGAGACTAAAAAATTATAACCAAATCCCAAAATAATTATTAATTTCAAACGTAGAACACTTGAATTTTTAACTTTTTTTTTTTTTAGAGAGAGAACTTGAACTCCTAACCTCAAGAAAATAAAGTCTTCACAAGATAAAGAATATCATTAGACAAAAATCCGTTAATTTGAATTTATAACTCGTTCTCTCTCCACTGATTTATACCTTGGGTTTACACCAATTTTGTTTCATATGCCAAATGCTCAACTTTATTAAGAACTTTTGAAAAGGGAGACAAAAATAAATCTTTTAAAATTCATATTCAAAGATATCTAGATGAAATCAAATCTTAGAAACTAATACAAAATCATGTATCAAGATTACACTAAAGAGAAAAATCCTAAAACTTACCTTAGTGTCATATTTATAACTAAACTATAGAACAAAAAAATAAAAGAAATGTAGGATTCGACTAGATAAGTAGTATTTAACTCCTTGTCATTCTCTTGCCAAATGTCGGATTGCAATAAATAGTCTTACTGCCCCTCATTTTTTCTTCTATTGTATTTGTATATACAAAATTAATTTTAATTTACAATTCAATCCCATTTTTTTTGCTAAGACAACCGAACGAGTTGATAAAGAATAATTGTACCTTTACTAAACAAATTTTTTAAAAAAATATTACTAAGTCCATATATTGAGTAATATATAATAGGATACAATTGCAAAACAAGTACAATAGGATAAATTTAATTCGCATAATAAAAATCTTTGATGACATAAATCATAGTTAAATAGACCAAAAAGTCAAATAAAAAATCGACTCTCTCCCTCTCTCTCATCAACTAGCCGTTTATACTGGAAAATGACATGTGAATGTATGTATATGTTAGATTGCAAAAAAAAAAAAGTTTGCAATATGTTATCTACATTAGTAAGCAATGTCCGTCCTAGTTGTCTTTCTTGTTAAGACTTATTAGTGCACTAATTAATTGGAACCTAGATTTCTACAAGCTATTATTTTTACTTTTCAAATGCTTTTGGTCCGAGTTTAATTGGGAGTTTTACTAGGATGGAAAAACATGAGAGGGTGAAAAATACGAGAAATATATTTTTTAATTTTTATGAGAGAAACCATTTTTTCTCTTATTTACATTTGGTAAGAAAGATGAAAAATATAAAGATGCACAGAGATTTTTCTATAATAGTTTAAGATAGTAGCACTGGGTCGAGCTATGATGAGATTCCTAAAACAAGAAATGGTCAGAAAGGGATCAGATGTGCTCAACTTATTTCATTTAATGTTTAAGTCAGTGAGCACTCAAGATTAAGAGAATAAGTATGCAGTGCAAAACTAGTTTAGTATGTATATTTGTTGCTCGATTTTAATGAGATAATTGTCCTTTTAAATCTGATGACTTGACAGCACTTGAGTATTCCTGTCTAAGTCTGCCGGTCTATGGTCATCGAGGCATGAACTAAGTGCTCCTAATCATTTTCATTAATGCTCAACGAAGGGATACAATCAGGATTAACTGAGCATTTATGGTTTACCTCATCGCAAATACTAAGTTATCACAAACATCAAGTGCTCTGTACCAAATACTAGCAATCTATCGCCGAGCATTTACAGCTTTGCTACATGCGAGCATTCAATTTACTATCCCCGAGGGCTATTCTCTAAAAATAAGGGTCATGCATCTCTATTTTTGGCGGTTTGATATACGTTTTGTGAAAACGTGATGGTGTTGATTATTCGCCACGTCAGCACTTTACAGGAGGCGCATTTCCCAATTATAGTTAATCATCGGGGTCATCCATGTACATGTCAATCCTCTTGCGGTGTATATTTACTCGACCCAGGGGTTGTTCGTCATTCGGTCAAGGCCCATGGAAGCCAGGGAGACACATTTGCTAGCTGTCATATGGCACATGTCAACTTGTGACTGGCGAACTGCGTACACCCCGTCAAAAGGATTTATTTTTTGTAATTGGTGCGAATGAAAAAGTGAAAAGGTGAAAAAATAAAGATTTATATTTTACTATTCTATCTATATATAAAATTGATATGTACATAATATGTAAATATAAAAATTTTATTAATTAACTCAAATATGGAATAACTAATTATTTGATTCGTAGAGAATCTCAAATATTTAATGTACATGACACAACGAATCAAGAAATTTTATATATATATATATATTTGACTAAAATATAATAATTAAATTAAAAAAATAATTCATACATTAAGAACATTGGATCAAGAACAAATATTGTGTTTTATTGAAAGTATTTTTCCTAACTTTTGTTGAAGATTTAGCAATCTATACACATGAAAAAAATATAGAAAGATGTAGAAGATGAGATCCCTAATTCTCCCATTTCAAAAGAATAAACCTATATTTATACTAGAGAGGTTAGGGTTGGCCTTGGAACAAATCCTTACCAAAAAAAGAGTAAATTTTAGGTCAAAATTCGTGCGTCAAATTTTGAGGTGCACGGGTATCATATTTGTCTAAACTTCGAGCTCAATTTTTGTATAGTTGGAGGTCAATTCATAAAATTTTCATGAAATACACTTTTATAACTCTTGATGTTTTCTTTTCAATTCCGCAAAAATCATACCAATCGAATATTGGGATAAAAAAATATGATCAAAATACTAAAAATATTTTAAAATCTTATCTTCTAGAATAATTTCTTTAAACAACTCTAAATGAGTTTTCTATCAATTTAGACTCTCATAAGAATTAAATTGATGTTTTATCTGCAAATCTTCTTATTTTAATCTTGGCTCTTCAATTCTTATCAATTGTGATCATTCCTTTAGTGTTTGTTTATTTGTCTTATCCATTATTACTTTAAATCAATCAAATTACTTGCAAAATAAACTAAACAACTAAAAAAATTATCAAACTAAAAATCAAATAATTATTAAATTATTAAATATAATAAAATAATTCTTTTGATGGTTAGTCAGCTAACCCTTACAATTTTTCATTCTTTATTTAGCACTTTTCTATTATACTAAACAAAACATAAGTAACTTTTCCTTTAAAGTAAATTTTATCATGATCCATTCAATTATGCACCTTGTCTGACTTTCTCCCTTCAATTGTTTTGCTTCCTGTATACCATCTTTAAATCTAGTTATTAGTTTACATTATTCAATTTCTAAATATCCAATATTAGATGGAAAATGAGTCTCTTTATCTTTTGGACTATACACGAGTAATTCACTTTATCTTAAAATCTAATGACACGTGAGTATTTCTGTCGAAGACATAAAGAAGGTTTTGTTTTTGCATAGTATAAATCTCAATTCATGTAGTTGGGGTATGAAGAGAAAAAGCATAATAGTAGAATGAATAAAGTGAGATTAGAGCTACAACTTAGAGGTACAAAATAGAATTACTCTTGACTATGTTCAGTAGTTGTGTACAAGTTCAAGTCCGATAAACTACTAAAATGAGATGTACATTTTATTTACTATCGTTTGGATATAAAATGCACATCTTTTGGATATACATAAGAACTCGTGGTGGTTTACATGATGGGCGTATAATATTTTTTAACATTATATTTTAGGAAAAATTTCATTCACACTCTCTATAATTAGGTCTAAAGTCAATGATACTCTCTCTCAATTTTGAAATTTCACTATCATCCCTTGTTTGTGTTTGTTGGATTACAACGTTAACAGTGATTGTTAATTTATAAAAATGCCTTTGAATATTTTTTAGGATAAATTTTATCTATACCCCTTATAAATAAACATAACTTCAACGACACCCTCTATAAATAGACCTATTTTTAACAATACCTCTCTCGATTCTAAAATTTTAATGCACCCCCTTTTAGTTCTATTATATTAACGTTTAGGTTCATCAATTTAATATTTAATTTTATTAAATTAATGTCCTTGATTTAATTTAAACATTTCATCTCATCAAATTAATACAAATTGATATTTAATTTTATTAAATTAACATTTAGTTATATTAGTTTAATATTTTATTACATCAAATTAGTATTATTTCTTTACTTTAACATTAAATTAAAATTTAATATATTAAATAGAAT